CGTGTACTGCAGTTAGCCATCTGTGAGAATTTGGCCCCCTCGGCGATCGTGCCCTCTATGCTGAGGGGGCAGCGGGAGTACCTCGCCTTCCGTTGCTTCTGCGAGCATGCGTGGCGGAGAGAGTCAGGGTGCGACGGTGTCATCCGTCCAGAGTCTCGCACCACGGAGCTTCGGTCGGTAGTCGCCGAAGAGCTGCTACACCGCCGCCACCCTAGAACGCCATAGGGGTTGTCACGCCGAAGGAGTTTCAGGACCTCCTTGGACTTGCACGACGGCCCCGTTGTCCGTGGCATTAGGAGGCGTAGTCCCTCCTGGCGGCCAAATCGATAGAAAGGACTCCCCAAAATACCCGGGAAGTAGACGAAGGAGTGCCCCGGCAGTAATTCGAAAGAGGTCCCGGGACACTCCTGCCAAACGTCAGGATAGCCACCGTGGGGTTTAGTCGGTTTGAGTCCGACACTACCCCGTTGTCTTCCAGAGGGTGGCGGGGTGTCCGCGAGGATTTCCCCACGATAAAAAAAAGAAAAGATTGAATACTTTCCCTCATATAGGTCGATATCTTTACTTCCAATTATCTCCAAAGTAGTAGAAAAGTAATACACAACAGATTAAATATCAACTAAGCACCTAATCCCAAATCATCAAGTCGGTTATAGAAAGAACCACAATACCATAGAGCAAATATACAGAATGGTAAACAACATAATCAAATAAATGGAAGAAGGCAAATATTGCACTGCATTATTCCTTGATGTAGAAAAAGCCTTCGATAAAGGCATGAAGGTCTAGTAAAAATAATTACAAACAATTTTACCAAATGACTTTTTACCGAATAGATCTTATTATACATTACAAACAGATATTTTTACGTTAAAATTGGCAACGTAACCTCCACGCTCAAAGAAATCCACGCTGGGGTATCACAGGGAAGCGTCCTTGGACCTGTTCTTTATCCTCTATTCACAGTAGGCATGCCATTAACACCGAAGACAGGTTTGCAGGCGACACGTCCATACTAGTCACGCATAAAAATATCGAAATTACAATAAAAAATCTACAAGATTATCTAAATAACATATAAAAAGCTGGGCGAAAGAAAACAAAATCAATCTAAACTCAAAATAAGTGCTCGCACATTACCTTTGCTTTAAACAAGAAAGAAACTCCTAAGGTCAAATTGTTAAGTCAGGAAATCCAATAGACAACTTTCGTTAAAAACAATTAATTTCTCTTTCTTAGGCAACTTACAATTAGTTTCATTATTGTGTGATTTTGTCATTCTCATACTTGTCCATCTCGGATAGAAAAGTAGATATGAATGTTCCGTAGAACTGTAGAATTAAATAGGTTCTTGTAGCTTGGTATTCAATAGGTTCTTGTCTATGCTTATGTGTAACCAAACAGGGCAGATCCCTAACTTTCCGCTTAGATACATAGGCTCCTGTATACGCTAAATTGCAACAAAATAATTTTTTAACGACGATAATATATCCAATATACAACAAATATCAATTAATATAAATTATAGATAAGGTGCTGTTTTTAATTAAATAATGCAATGTAGTTTGTGAAACATTTATTAAAAACATAAAAGGCTTAATTTAACAATTCTGCTAATAATTTTTGTTAAGTAAAACAAATTTTCGTTTTTTTATTTAGTTCTCGAATTCTTACATAGGTAGACCTCCGGATAAGGGAAAGAATGACTTCCAATGGGATTGTAATTTCCGAAATACTTAATTTTTCATTGGGAATTTCAGTAATATTTACAAAGCTATTTTGTAAAATACGCAAAAGGCCGTAAAGCATACTTTATACCATTTCACCATGATTCTATGCACTTTTCTGTATGGGATAACGAGTTGCATCGTTTAACATATTAAGTACTAAGCTTCCCAAGTAAATGTCAGTGTAAAAGCTAATAAGACTTTATATTTTTAAAGGAAACATGAGTTACATTACAACTCATTGTTCTTTTGATCAGTTTTCATCCTCGTGATGATTAGAAGAACACGATATATACTTGAATTTCAAGGTCGATCTTAATTATACTCCAGCATTCTTTAATGAATATTTACCGAACCAATGTCTGCTATGGAAGAGAAATACAAAAGTAGAAAGAGTTACATCTTTTCTTGTCTTTCGTACGATGAATTTTACAAAATAAGAGTTAAAGTATCCACTAAATTAATAACTTTTTGACATAAATAGGTTAATAATTTTTTATAATAAAGAATCACGAACTGCATCGATTAATGTATTAAAAAATATATGATTCTACTTAAAAAGTTGATGGTTACATAACTTTTTTGTGCCCACTTACAGAAAAACCGACAGTATCGCAATATATCTCCCTTGAAGCGATTCGACTTTTATTTGAAACATTTCTTGCAAAGATAATAATAGTAACGAAAATCAAAATGTTAATATCTATACAGAAAAACTACGTAGTAAGTTACAGATCAAGTATCAGTAGACTTTGAAAAATCAAAGGAAATTACAAACACACGTCGTACATATGTATAACTTGTCACATCGTGCGATAATTACATAGCATTATGATATATAACATTTTTTAAACATGGAATATAACTTTGCTATATTACATGTTATATGTATATACTATATGTTAGTACAGGAAACTATACAGTAGTCGCACGTTTACAAGACACTCTGTATAATTTTATCGATAAAACAACACACATGTTGTGAAAAAACGTCAAGTCACATCGCATACCTATTCAGTATTGAACAAAATTAAATTATGTTTATAAAATTATAAAGTGACTTTAATTTATATTAAATTAATATTACAATTGGTTAATCAAGAAAACGAAAGATGCGTTTATACAGTAGAAGAGTTTCACTTCGTGAATCATTTATTGAAATACTAGCAAGAAGATCATTAATTCCAAAAAGAGTAAGTACATTCTGTGCAATTGTATTAATGAATTAGTTTCTTCTAATTTTCGGTGAAAGATACATATTTAAATAAAATTGGAAGTTTTCGTTAATATTATTATTATATTTGTTGATTTTATAGAAATATATTCTATATTGAGAAATAAATTCAGTTGAATTCAATAAATAATTTATATATTTTTAAAATGTTTGTACTTAAAATATCCTGTGAATATCAATATTTTTTAGCAACTAAAAAAATACAATATCACTGACATGATATACAGGTACATATATACTGTATTACTCTACATACCGTTCAAATAGTGGTATGCAGATATCTGAGTATCTGTGATTGGGACGGGTCGAAAAAACTTTGACGAGAGGCGAAACCAAAAGTTACCGGATTCCGGGACGTGATTTAGGTATAAGCATAACAGTTTAACCTATGCCCTGTGCTTCGTTAGTGGTTTAACTTCGGATCGGTTTGGCAGCCCCAGATTCAACTATGTATACATATACTTCATACATAGAGATGAAGAAGGCAAGTGACATGACTGCCACGGAGTGATTCTACATCTCTGGACTGGTGGAGATTTGTTAAAAAAAGATGAAATTCAAGATCAAAATTTTTTTACTTGCTTCGTTTACTTGCATCACGAGGACCAAATTTGTCAAACGAACCATGGATTGCAACTCAACTATTTTTTCGAAAAATGATGTTTTGTAAAGTTCCATTGGCTTTTCCATTGACATGATTTACGATATGTTTACATTTTACAGTCAGGCACAAAATAAATAACATGATATTAATCAGAAAACAGGAAATTATAATATTTCTTAGCACGTGAGATAGTCTATCTTAAATAGAATGAAGCAACTAACTTCATGATTTCATGAAATTACTTATTGTACAAAAAAGAACTTTTCAAAGAGAAGTTGAATGGCGTCGAAGAGAGCACGACTTAATGTTATTGGTATGTTCGCAGTTGGTCGACTATGTTTTTTTTTAAAAATAGAATCGCATTTCTTTATGCGTTGGCTGATTCATCTCGTTATTTCATATAGGGAAGTATCGAGATATTCCTTCCAAAAACCGGTCAAAGATAGATTCATTGTTTCTGATATTTTGTTTAAAAAACAATTTATTATAATGTTTCTTGAACCAATTGTTTTTCGTTTGAGTAGAATACAATTGGATCAAAAAAAGTTTAACTTTGAATTTCAAAATCTAGGTCAATAGTACGGCAATTTTTTTAAACAAATCTCTAGCAATTCAGAGATATAGAATCACGAGGTCATGGTCATGCCACTTAATTTCCTCATATCCTGTAATTATTAATTGTAGGAGAAGATGAAAAGAAATGCTGATAATAATCCTTAAACGAATAACTACCATATTTAAAATTTGGAAGAAAGATTGTTTCTAGTTTGATAAAATATTTTTGAATTAATTACAAAATACTTTAATAACTTTATATAAAAGACAAAGTATATACAGCGAAAATAAAAAAAGTGTAGACAACTAAAAACACACTACATGCTACAAGCTCCATACAAAAATGCCAAATGTTTTATTGTTTCAAATTAGTGTATATTAGGTTGTCCCGAAAGGAAATAATAGATGGAAATAATAATAATATTTCCTTATAAAATGAAAGAAATTTTTGGGACAATCTAATACATGTTCATATAAGTATATATTCAGATATAGCTATATATATTCATAGAAAAGTTCTTAAATAATAATTTTACTATATGAACATCATTCTATATTTGTAGTATAACTATATTTGTAGTTGTAAATGATAAGAAAAAGAATTAGTTAAAAGTATAAAAAATACGATTATAAAGTACTATAAAACAACATAGAGAATAAAAATATGTAATAATTAAACTATTGTACATATGTAGGTATAATATTATTATATCGTCGTATTATCAAAAGAAGAATATATCTAGGAAAGTAAAATTCTCAGGAAATTGAGCTGAGCTAGAAAGTTATTATCTATTTGTATAATGAATAATTAAATAATTTAAATTTAGATATCAATTTAATATCTAATTTAGGAAAAAGCAAACTTAATTAAATTTATATTAATAAATTTACATCGTTAGAAAATTTCTGAATGAATTATAAATAATAACGTTGCAGGTAACTTAATTTTTGTATAACCAAAAGAAATGTTGTTTTACTATTTATTTTTATTGTTTTCCAAATTTTTCGGATTTGTGACAAAATATTCTTTGCAGCTATTTTTTATTATTAAAAATGATGTAAACAGATTTTGTGAATTAAAACAGTGTCTTAAAAAGTATAATTTTATTGAATAATTATCTCAATTCTGTCCTAGTAAATACAGTGCATAGTTACAATATGTTTACATTTTACAGTCAGGTACAAAATAATGTCGAATCAATTTTCACAGATATCTCAAACTTAACAATTTTCGAGATGTTATTTTTCCGTTAAACCAACGATATGATCACTGAAAATAATATTAATAATAATGTTAAAACATAATATTAAAATAATACGATAATAGTAATGATAATAACTGTTTAGGTCAATAGGTTAAAGGGGATCTATCTTTTCCGAGCTGCAGTGAGACTGGTCTTGGAATATATCGAATGGTTAACCGAGAAGTCTGTAGTTGAAGAAGTCAGTGACGATATTACAATTAATATTCGGAAGGCACAAGAAAAAAAACACGAAAAGAAAGCTCTTACTCTAGAGGTTCAACATTTCTTTTCATTTATATGTATATATGTAACTAAGCTACGGATGTTTATGCATATAAAATAGTAAGCTTCAAGTACCAAATTATTGATTCCTAAACTATATAACAAGGAAAAGAGATTGTTTTACCATTTATTTTTCTTTTTCTTAGAATTTCGAGGGTTTCTGAAAACATATTGTTTATGCGTATTTTTACTATTAAAATGGGAGGTAAAGTAGTTTTTGTGAATTAAGTCATAACACAGATATGTAAAATATTTTAGCAATATATTTCATGTAAATAATATACCGAATATTATATACGTAATAATATCTAGTAATAAATATTTAATAATGTTTTTACCGTTATTTTAGTCTATGTAGTTTGTGTTATAAAAATACGAGCACTTTGTTCAAATGTACTGTTGTAAACTGGTAACATTTGTATGTAATATATAACGCTTGTCCACTTTTTCGACTACTCGTTTTACAAAGGATTTAAGAAAATTTTAAGTACACTTATCTCTTATTCATTCTCTAACAATCTATAAATAGTGCAGGAAACAAATCTCTGTTTAACTTCTGCTTTCTCAGTTCTATTCTTTGGAAATATGAATTTGTATAAACATCCATAGTTTATTTATAATATGAAATACAATAAAACTACAAATTGTTGTTAATCATAATTCATCGAAATAATTTAGATAAAAGTTACACTTTATATTTAAGGATCGTTCTTATTTATTAACGAGGCCAGAAGACCGATCATCGGACGACAGAAAATATATATATGAATTATTTAAAAAGTTTCGCGTGTTCAAAAAATATCCTGAACATTTGAGAGAAATTTTAGCGGGGGTATGCTTTTATCAATATTTACGACCTGATCGCGTAATTGTGCGACAAGGTCGCGAAGCTGAAAATCTTTACTTCATTATAAGCGGAGAAGTCGGTGTATCGAAAATAGTTGTTGATCGCTGGACTGGTACGTAAAATAAATTTTCCTTTATATAAGTCTTCAAATTCTCCGTAAATATAAATTACAGACAAAAACAAAACTTTTCGAATTATGTAAAGCAAAAGAAATCTATATCGTATTTATAGTCGCCCTGCAATATGTTACAAATTTACTTTGTTTTGTAAAGTTACAAATAACTACATAAACTAACAAACGAAGTTTTAAATACAATATCTCTATTCTTTATTGCCGCCTTATTTTGACTTGCACAAGGATTTCTTAAATTTTCTGAGCAGAAGTAGTTGTGTTATAAAAGCGTAAGGAAACGTTATAAATTTTATTTGTGCTTAGGTGAATCGGAGGAGGTTGATATGGGCATCCTGAGTTCTGGCGATATATTCGGTGAAGTCGCATTGTTGCATGAAATACCAAGATCAGCAGCAGTATTTACAAAAAGTATGTATGTACAATAGAACTACATATTTATTGCTTGTATTTTATTATAAATTTATCTACCATATAGTCTTGTATGAAAATAATCTTGTATCGTTAAGTTTTAATATCAAGTTAAGTTAATATTATTATTAGATTGTGAATTATTATGAATTCGTGCAACATTTAAGGATGCAAGGATGTATAGAATGCATATGTAGCGTCACTCGACAATAAACTTCCCAACGGTTTCTGTCCCGTGGCTCGCTACACAAAGACCCTATTCTTCGGATAAAATGATTGCCAGATGTCCATAATACATCCTCACAGTATATTTTCAGCTAGCCTAAGGACTCACTATAAATCTTAGGATTTATTTAGCTAAGCTTTTGTTATTAAATAGGTGTTGAGGTTCGATATTTAATTGATTCGCACAGATTTAGTTTTGTATATTCTGTATTTCATCATCATGTACAGCCATTACAACACGCCAGATACTTTCTGATAATTAACAAAAGAGCGTCGTTAATAATCGTACCAACTCTGCATGTAGGAACTAGTGATCATACCAACCTAACATTTATCTCAACACTCCCCTTTGATAATAGTTTCTACAAGCCCTATAGCTGTGGTAAAATATAGAGTCTTAATCCTATTTAAACCTTTGGTAAGAATATCTGCAACATTCTCAGAATTTGGTACATAAACATAATCTAAAATACCCTCTGACACGCAATTCTTAACATAGAAGTAACGGATTTGAACATGTTTAGAACTCTCAGCGACTACCTTGTCACGTAAACTTGAGGGTTGGGTGATAAAATAAAAATAGTTGAGTCGTAACACAACTATTAATTTTGTTTTAATTGAACTTTATTACAAATTCAGCAATCAAACTGGAATACGCACTGAATTAATGTAAATCACAATTCACTCCAACCATGTTATGTAAAACTTAGTTACAATGATACGTTAAGTACGCGATTGTTATAAGGGTAGAGACCGGTAAAGGTATGTTGACTATTCTAAGGATACAGAATAAGTGAGTTTTACTGACGATACTGTGTCTGAGGAAAATTAGGGGTGGGTGTGTCTAAGGACACGGGACTATCCGATTTGTTGATGAAAATTTTGGTTAAGAAAGTGAGGGCAGTAGACACCGTTTCCGATTGGATAATAAGACGGACCAGGAAGGGTTTTAGCCGCCCTCGTGAGAAAGTTGCTAACGGAACATACCAGACGCGAGGAAAAATAAACTTTCCGTATTAACCCGTAATAAACAATAAACGTAAAAGGAAACCTAAGACAAGAGGTATTAGCTTGGTCTGAAGGACCTTAACTATGAAAATTCCAAGACCCCCGGTACTTAGGACTATTGAGGGTACGCGCCAAGGATGTGCACACATCTAGGTGCCATCTTGCTCGCGGTGTGTGGCCTGGTCTCTGATGTGAATTGACGTTACAACCTCATCCTTGGACCATGAAATAGCTCCAATATTATCACAGAAAATTTTGCATAGGCGGGAACAATATGACAATTGACCTAACTCCCTTAACAGACTCTCCACACAGTCCCCTTGTTGTCTCCTGCATTGCTACAAATTCTGCTTCACAAGTCGATTGTCAGTTCGCTGTTGAGTGCCGAAGCGTGCAGACGTGTGTCTAGTGCTCTGTGAAGTTCGTAAAACAACACGTGACGCCCATCTGTCGAAAGTGAACACAGCCAAGTGTTTCCTATCTTTTTAGAGAAAAATTCCTACGCTCCTAACCTCTACCCGAATCATAGCCTCATAGCCTCTCGACTAGTTATTCAACTTGAATTAATTAGCTCGATGATGGCCCAGGTATTACGACCAGGCTCTCCTGAGCAAATCCACAATTGCTTGGCGCTACCTCCTCCGTGGCAAAAGTGCAATAGATCCCCTCGTACTAGTGACACCAAACAGCGTAAACCAAAAAGCGTAAAATAGAATCAGCTAAAATAAACACAAACGCCAACCAGAACGAACAGTTACCAAACCAAGTAACCACATACAACAGACACGTAATATTGGAATCCTTAAACGACCCCATGGAAGTTGCAGACCCACCAACAATTTGTTGATTTGATATTTGAATGATATTTGTTGATGATGTCATCGACATACAAACAATGATTAAGTCCATACAGAAATATAAACCCAGACAAACCCAGACGCAAATAGAAGACTCACTAAAGACCATGAATGCCAACTTTCACACATATCAAACTCAAACAAGAAAGACCTTTCCGAGTGGTTCTACGCAACATCCACCACTCAACAAACTTAGATGAATTGAAATTCGAACTCTTAAAACACGGCCACGAAGTAATTGTAGCGTAAAATTAAGATAAAAATAAGAAACTTGTCAATTTCCGAACAGGAGATCGAGTTCTTTTTATTTTTACTCAATTTGTACAGTATTATTTTCGGTTCGCGATGATACACTTTTGATACTTGGGTTAGTTAAGAATTTTTCAGACTGATTGGATGATTTTGAAGGGAGCATTTATATTCTTTTATTCGTTGGAGTGGGAGAAGGCTTTGCTCGTACTTATTATATATTTCGGAGAACGGCTGGAGTGACCGAATGCCAGGCGGCTGAGAACGGGTGCTGACCGGACGGTCACGCGTGATAAGGCGCTCGGAATTTTAGTTTATCATATGGCTGCTCGAATTTCACCTATGACATAATCAACGTTAGTAACATAAGGCATAGAATCTGGAAAGACCCGTTATCTTTATTTTTTATGGGCATAAAACAAAAGCCTAACAATAAGGAAATTTACAACATCAATTGTCTAATGAACTCAATAATGAAATTTGAACTACCGCTTGTTAAAAAAGAGATAGTGACCGGAAACCCCAGCGAAGTGCATCCACTGTCAAGGTGACCATCCTGCTAACTACAAAGGCTGCTCAGCCTACAAAACTTTATATATAAATAAATATCCTAAACTCAGAGCCAAAGAGACAACCAATCAAATACCCAGTCCTCCTAAATTCACTACTACTTTAATCTCCTATGCCCAAGCAGTACAAGGAAATCAAAATAATCCGAATAGCTACAGGGACCATTTTCAAAATAGTGTTCTCAGTTCACAAAACACGGATAACTTCTTTAGACTCGAAAAATTAATTGAGAAACAATCAGAACAAATTAATAACTTACTATCATTATTAACACTCATCATGGATAAATTAATAGGCCCCGGCGCAAAATAAAACCAATACGCATAGCTCTTTGGAATGCCAACGGTCTAGCTCAACACAAATACGAACTAGAACTCTTCCTAAAACAACAGTAAATCGACGTAATGCTCGTATCTGAAACCCACTTCACCGACAAAAACTATCAGAAAATACATAGTTATAACTTCTACTATACCCAACATATCAGTGGAAAGGCCCACGGCGGCACCGGAATCATTATCAAATCCAGCATTAAGCACTACGAACTTCCATCATTCCAGAAAGACTACCTCCAAAAAACAAACGTAGCAATAGAAGACTGCCATAGTACAATCACCACTTCAGCAGTATACTGCCCTTCCAGACACTCCATCGCCAAAGAAGATAACAACCTTTGATAACTTCCTTGATGCTCTGGGCAATAGATTCATAGTTGGAGGAGCCTGTAACGCCAAACATACTCAATGGGACAGTAGACTTATCACAGTAAGAGGCAAAAATCTCTTGAATAGCATAAACACCAACAGACTCAACTACCTCACCACATATGAACCCATATACTGGTCCACTGACATTAACAAAATACCTGATTTACTTGTTTTCTTTATAACTAAAAATATTTCGCCAAAATATGTCCAAATCAACTCCTCGGCGGAACTCTCTTCAAATCATTCCCCCGTTATTGCAACAATTAGTTCAACAATTATCGAAAATCCACCTAATGGCTTTATTCATAACCAAATCAACAACTGGCAGCTCTTTAGAGATGTCTTTAATCATTCACCATCAGCCTTAATTTCCCAAAAAACAAATAAAGATATTGAAACAGCCACGGAATACTTAAACACCAGCATAATAAACGCTATCCGCTCTTCCACACCTACTAAGAGTTCTATCAATAAACATGAATACTCCCATCACATATTAGAAAAAATCGCAGAAAAACGTAGACTTAGAATAGTATGGCAGAGTCATAGAATACCTGACGACAAACGCAAGCTAAATAACGCAACTAGGAATTTAACCAAAATCATTAAAAACTATAAAAATGACTGACTTAGTTTACCTATTGCACATGCGACATCAGAACGGCTTACAGTAGCGGCATACATTCTGTTCATACAACTCATTGTCAAAAGGTTCATCACATTCAACATCAAAACCAGCTTCACACTCCTTACCTAGTGGTGTTGACACTCCAGTCTCATTAGTAATATCAAACAGATCCAGCATTTGGCTTATTTGCACAGATTGGTCAAACACAACAGTAGTGCTGTTTGGCTTACTCAAATGGATGGACGAGAATTGAGTATCAGTACCCAGCATCCTAACATTTAGTTTTTCCTTAATACTAGCCTTGAGCATACCGATCGCAGTCTTTGTTCCAAACTTAAGAATGTCATCCATATACATCGCGACAATTACATCTTTGGATACATTCACATACACACATGGATCACTCAGACATGGTTTCAGATTCATACCCTTCAGAATACTATTAATATGTTTGAACCACATTCTTCCAGCTTGCTTCAGTCCATACAGGCTCTTCTTAAGCTTACATACATATTGAGTCCTGTCCTTTCCTGGTATTTAAAAAAATTCAGCTTACTTCATGTATATGTCCTCATCCAAAGGACTGTTGAGGTATGCACACTCTACATCAAAGTGTTCATAGCTTCACTCATCCTTAGTACACAGAGCAAGTAAAATTTTCAGGGTCCTACGTTTCAATTGGGCTGAAGGTCTTCGAATAGTCTATCCCAGGTCTTTGCCAAAACCTGTGAGCTACAAGTCTAGCCTTATATCTAT